AATGATCTCTGTGAATGCAAGTCTTCAAGTGAAAATAATCTTCTATTATTTTTGTATTACTTTTTGGTGAAATTAATTTACATAAATGCAGTATAGAATGCATATTCAATCAAAAGGTAAAACAGAAAGATAATTAACAAGTTAACTGTCTGTTAAAAATTACCATATTGTGTGAACAAACTTGAAAGCCTTGATTTGAATTTACTTTTAAAGTGATCAGATGATAAGTAAACAGGGACAGGGTAATTCTTACAAGTGATTCAATGAAGTCAACTCCTTCAAGAAAAATTGCTGATTAAATATATGTCACATAAAATTGTCATTTTAATCTTTTTTTAGTATACTGTGGCATAAGTACATTCACACTGTGGACACCAATCACCACTATCTATCTGTACAACTTTTCCATGATCCTAACTGAAGATATTCCATTTAAACACGGAGTTTCCATTCCCATCTTCCCCCAACTCCTGGCAACCAGTCTATTGCACTTTCTGTCTCTATTGATTTGCATACTCTGGATACCTTATGTAAGTGAGTTCGTCATCCATGTCTTTTGTGTTGCCTTCATTAGTAATTGTCTTCAAGTTTCCTCCATGTTGTAACCTGTCTTAGAATTTCATTCCTTTTAAGGCTGAAAATATTCCACTGTGTGTTTATAGTTTCCATTTTTTGGCTATAAAGTCACATTAAAAAATGCATTGAGTTATAATTTTCCTTCAATAAAATGTACTTATTTTAAACTTTAAACTTATGCTTGGTAAGTACATGCAGAAATGCAGTCACCCTCACACTCAAGTTATAGACTATTTCCATTATTACAGCAGTTTTCCTCTTGTCCCTTCTCTGATCCTTCTCTTACCCCAAACCATTCCATCACCCTGGCAACATGGGTCTGCTTTCTACCATTGTACATTAGTTTTTCTGATTTTTTTTTTGAGACCTGAAGAAATTAATCATGAGACAAATAATTCAGAATGAAAGGTTCATTAAATGCAAGGAGTGGTTAGGCTCTGGGAGATAAAGATACTGGAATACATCCAAAGACGGCCATGACAGAGGTACAAACTCAGTGATGCCCTTTTACTTGTGCACAAAAATGTCAGCTTGGTGGATCAAGGTTAGAAGAACATTCTTGTGGGAAAGTTAGTGATGAATAATATGAAAAAACAAGATCACAATCTTCTTAAGAGAAGAACTATGGAGAGAATATATTACATTTCCATCATGATAGTTCTACCATTCATATTTATAGTTCTTAAGGAGGCCAAAAAAAAAAAAAAGCCACAAACAAATATGCTTGTCCATGTTTTCCCAGCATGGCCCCTTTGACACCTAAGGGAGATGTTCAGACCAGACTGACCTGCACGGGTAATTCTGTCGGATTAAGACCTAGATCTGATCTTTGGCATAGAAACCTCAACACTATCAAACTGGAAATGACATTTAAATGTTCTTTACTAATGAAGGCTGGATTTGGATCTCTGAGGATTCAAAGGATTCTTGATGTTTTTGTAAAAATAGGTCAAAATGGGGCCCTCCCTGGTGGCGCAGCGGGTTAAAGCACAGCACTAAGAAGCTAAAGCCTGTTCAGTACAAATTCGATTCCCACCCATCCCGGAGGTGACCACATGGTGTGGCAGACCTCCCCTTCAGCAGTGTGCCTCATTGATTGCCTGTTCTGCTCCCCACTCTGTCTCTGGTGAATCCTTTCATAGCCCCTGAACCTCTGGCCTATTCCCCAGTTCTGTATGCATAAATAAATATTTCAAAAAATAGGCCAAAATGGAAACAATGTACCTTTTTCACAGCCTTCTTGATATTCTTAGGCCAAGGGAATGAATTTCTAAATTCTATTTTAGTTTTGTTTCTTGATCTGATTTTCCCCCTAGTTTCTGAATAAATTTAGCCATCACCTTAGCTTTTCTCACTTTTCTTTTATGCACCTTCTCATTGTGTTAGGTTGCTTTGTTATACCTTCAGCAGTCACTTTATGCTATATTTTGACAAGCATATACTTTCTGGCCCTGTATTGAGTAGTTTCCTTTATTTCTCCCTCCCTCTCTTTTTCAGTTCTTATATTTTCTGATTATTTATGCCCCTAGGTGGTCTATATGTTGAATAACCTACTTTTCCAAATTTTGTTACTGAAATTCCCACTATGATATATGTGTAAAATTTAAATACATTGTCATACAAAAAGTAACCCTTTCTTAAAAGATTGATATAAAACAATTATTCAAGTGCTAGGAGAAATTCTTTAGAAAGCAGTTCTTTCTATTAAAGCACTTTCTAATTTTGAATCAAGGATTGACAATCTATAGACAACTTTTCTAAATATATGGAATAAACATGTTTGCATGTTCATTTTCATCTATCATCTAGGAGTTGGGAGGAGATAAAAGTTTGCAATAAATGGGAGGTAACTTAGCAGAATCAAGCTATGTGAGACAATGAAATGAGAGAACCTTTTCTTAATTGGAAACCTCTGGGTATTGATGGATTAGTCAAAATACATGATGCTGGAGGGCAACTTGCCACATCTGTGGCAAGTTTAAAGCTAGCATTTGACCAATGGGAAGGAGAGTTGCTTCAAGGTTGCAATCAGGGAAATATTAAGTAAAAGGACTCAAGGAATTGAAACTGGGAGTTCAGTTCTCCACTGAAAGCCCTGTGAGTCAAATACCAAAGGAGCCTAAAGAGGAAACACCTAGTTGGAACCTAGTCAAAACATGTCCCCTGTAGGACTAGAAGCTGAGGAGTAATTGAAGTGCCCAGGTACCATCTGGGAAGAGAGGTAAGTGGCATTGAAAAGAAATGCTGCTACTTTATAATTTTATGTGGTACAAACATCCTATCATTTGAACTAGTTTTTGCTGTTACTTTCTCATATTTATAATAATTATTAAAAATCTGCAAAGCACTAATTAACATCTTATTCGATACTAGTTTTTTTTCTAATCTTATTGCTCTGACCCCATAAAGTAGCATTTGGTTAGTTTTCTTAATCACATTCCTTTGGAAGCAATTTAATAGACAATGTTGAACACAAGGTTACTATGGGTTTGCAAATATAAATTAAGTGATTCAAGTCTCATTTTCACAATGGGGTAATCAAGGTGGGGTGATTTGGTTTAATTAAAAATAAAAAGCATCCCATGTGGTAAATTTGATCATAATAAAATTCTGAGACCACTAAAATTATTCCACTAGAATTTTATTTGCAAACATATGAGAAATTTGACAGCTTGTGTCCTGAGTAATTTTTCAATTTTATTATCACATATACACACACCATTCAGGTAAATGGAGATAGAGTCAGAAAAAAAAAAGCAATTTGCTTAAACTCTATACATAGGACGGTCTGGGTAAACTGGATAGTTTATTAGAATGTTGAGTGTATAGTCAAATACCTACAGAGAAACAGACCTTGCTTCTCTTAAAGTATCAGTTTTGGGTAGTGTTCAGATATGTAGGTGACTGTCACCTGAGTCAGATTATTTTTTCAGCAGCCCAAAAGCAGTTTACTGTTGAATATTTAGTTTTAGCTGTAGGCCAATGAGAGGTTAACACTTAACTCCTTTTGTGGTTTCAAAAGAAAGAACAAGGAATGATACTGCCTTTAAATTATCAACAGTTTCTTAGGCTTGGCCATAGAAGTATTTTGTTTAGTATGGGACAAATTTTTGAAATATGAGATAACATTCACTGGAATGGTAAATAGAAAATTTTGGTATTAACATGTATCCTTGAGGATGGATTTCCATGCTATTCAGAGATGTACAAAGTATACTTGGAAAATCTTACTTTCTGTTATTAACTTCAGGTTATCTTTCAATTTATGAAGTCATCTCTTGTTCCCCTGTGACCCTACTCCTCCCATATTTTTAGTTGTAAAATGCGCATAATGTAAAATTATGTGTGCATCATCTTAACTATTTTTAAATGTGCATAACAAGCTTAGTGGCACAAAGTACATTAATATTCTTGGGCAACATCAACACCATTCTTCTCTAGAACCCTTTTCATCTTGAAACTGAAACTAGACTCACAAAATAACTCTGCTTCCACGCGTGCTTATTTTCTATATGCTATAAACCTCCTCCTGTTAGTATTCCAACGACATTTTAACCTCCTTGAGAGCAGCCATGTATTAGTTATATAACGTACACATGGAGCTTACTGACAGCACTGTTTTAAGTGTTTTTGCAAATATTAGCTCACGTAATAGTTCATGAGTATGTTCCAGAGTGGCTAGCATGTGGGCGTAGGAGACATAAAATATTTGTGGAATTAATTTTGCTACCACTTGAGCATTCTCAAGTGGCGTTGTTATTCTGGCTGAAAAGTTACAAAAGCAGCAGGTGGGACACATAATAAAGGAAGCCTGATTCAAAATGGAGTCGGTGGCTATGAGGGAGGGCTCTCACATACCTGCTACTCCTTGAGTCTGCGGGACACCTCCTTGCCCAGAAATAAGAAACTGTCCACCTCTTTCAGTCAATGAGAACCTGCCACAATCTCCGAGTCTCAATCTTACTCGAAATAGCTCTTTCCAATTTTTGACTAAAGCTTGCTAAAAGCATACCTTCCTTTTGCCTCCAACTTGCCTATGGTTCACCAATTTGCTGTACCTGCATTGTAATCCTTCTGCTCTTCCAGAATTAACTCAATTTGACCAGAAGAAGCCCCTGCAGTTTTACTTCCAGGTTGACATAAGTTCTCCTGGGAAACGACTTCGGTACAGGGTCGCAAGTTTAAAGAAACACTTTATTTTAGTCACATTCAGGGCGAGTTCCCCCTAAGGAAAGCTAAGAAGGACGCTATTCTGGATAGAGAATATAGGAAGTGACTCAGCAAAGTTAAGGTCTTCCTTTCTGTGGGACATGTGGTCCACTCTGAGAAGACTCAGGAAAAGGTTAGACCCTTTGGCTGGGTGGCCTCTGAATTGCTGGAGGGAGGGGGCGGGGCCGGGGCCGGGGGGGGGGCCTCGAGGGCGTGGCCCGGCGGCGGGGCGGGGCCAGCGGCTACACCGGGCGGTGATGGCGGCGGACGGGGACTGGGAGGATTTCTATGAGTTCCAGGAGTCTACCCCGAGCCCCCAGCGCCAGGAGAACTGCCACGAGAGCGCCGAAGCCGCGGCAGGGGTGGGCGAGGGAGGCGACGGCTTCCCGGCGCTGGCTTGCAGCTTGGAGGAGAAGCTGAGCCTGTGTTTCCGCCCCTCGGGGCCGGGCGCCGAGCCCCCGCGGACGGCTGTGCGGCCCATCACGGAGTGCAGCCTCCTGCAAGGGGACGAGTGAGTCTGGGCCGGCCGGGTGGGGCGGGAGCCTCCCTTGCCCCTTGTCCTCCCCTCGCCCTGCCTGCTGGCCCTCAGTCCGCAGCCTCTGTGGGACTTCGGCCGCAGGCTCCTCCCCATGCCCTCCTTCCGCCTCCACCGGCTGGAGTCCCCGCCCCGCGTGCTCCCCACAGCCCTCCTGCGGGTTTTGGGGTCCCCGCTAGTGGCGTGCTTTAAATCTTCTGCACCTTGCCCCCACTCTACTTTGAGCATCCCCACCCCCACCTGCGCCTGCCCCCCTCCTTCTTAGAAACCAACCTAAGTTTTGTTGAGAGGGCAGTCTTGCTCAGCGCTGGGGGTGGATACAGTACTTCCTGGTGCCTCCTTGGGTACCGTCGTGGCCGTTCATTCATCCTAGCAACAACCGTGAAGCTCCAGCTGATGCCAGAGACTGCTTCACACCTGCAGCACTGAGGTGTCTGCACCCCGCCCTTCCCGAGGAGGGTACAGCCGGGGCTGGGAGCTAGATTTGTAGCCAAGTATATGTGTGGGCGTGACAAATGTTCTGAGGGATATATGTGCAGAGTAATAGCTTTAAAAGTGTGGAGGTGGGTGGGGGTAGGGAGTCTAGAGCCTAGAAAGACTTCATAGAGAAAGGAATGAGAAATCTATCCTGCTGGAGTAGTGGGAGTCTGTCTGAAAGGGCAAGAAAGCTCTAGGGTTTGTCGAGTATATTGTTTAGCATGTGCGAAGGTATTGGGGCTGAGGCAGCATGTCTGTTGAAGGAATTTATCGGGGCCTATTGGCAGCTCAGGTTGAATATAAGCTCCTCTCGCCCATTCCCCCCTAGCAAAACAAACTGACAGACAAATCAGGAAAGGCTCTGGAAAGGCATAAATATGTAAGTAGTACAGAATCATCACCAGTACCGTAATGGAAAATTCACAGGGATTTATGAAAGCTAGGAGCAGAGTTCCTGGGGACACTTTATTTAACCCAACTATAATTTGGTTAAATAAGGGTTGTAATTATGTCTTAGACTTACCCCAGAAGACATGGTGAGAGTGAAGGAACTTGAGCCTGGAACTTGTATTTTATGCGTGAGTGTGTACACATATATATTACATAAAATAGGTAATACATTTATGTTATAGATAATGTATGTTACATAAAATGTATACATACACACATAAATATGGGGAGAGGAGTTTTTGGAGAGGCTGAGTGCCTTGCCTCTGTACCTGATTTATTAGGAGTAAGGCAGGAAGCTGGGAAAAGGTGGCTGGGAATAGAGGCCTGTGGGTATGGCTGAGCTTGGAGAACCTGCCTTTTTATTGGTTCCTCCACATAGTGTTCTGCCCAGGTATAGAGGAAAGAATTTATGATTGGATTTTATATGCACAAGTATGTATGCATGCAGCCAATGGCAAAAAGTGATATACTTGAAAATCTATTTCCATAGAGAAGACAGTTTTATATAAATTTGTATATGGAATCATTATTTCTCGGGACATATTCTGGATTTTAAATTATGTATTTGGACTTATTGAGAGGAACTTCTCAAAACAGATGATTTGTGCACACAGATTTGTTTCCTTATTTTTGCTTTGCTTGTACTGTCGGGAACAATTTATATAAATCTTATGCAAATCTTATGTTCACATAGTCCTTTTTTTTTAAATTTTGCTCTTAATAGTTTCTAGTACACAGGTTGGTGCACAATGCTTGATTTGGAAATATTAATACATTAGAAATCTCTTTTTGGGGGCCAGGGATTAGTAGCACCTCTCCTTCTCTCCTTTCTCTGTTTACGTTTCTTCTCCATAGCTTGATTAGAGTTCACTCCTGCTCCTTTCATGACAGTTGACTCTTTTACCTAGATCTTTTACCCAGATACTGTCTTTCCTTAGTTACCTTATTTAACTTCTTTGAGCCCTGGTTTTAGTTTTATAATCTCCCAACTTCTGATTGAGAAAGATTTCATGCAGGATTCCATGTTGGCAGGACTTTAACCTCCTTGGGAAAGAGCTGCTTTGCCAGTTGCTTATGACTGGATGTAGTCCTTTATGATAAGGATGAAGGCCATTCACATTTCTTGAGAATTCTAGAAATCTTACACTGAAGTTGACCCTATGTCCTTCTCTCCATAATTGTTCTGACCTTGGTGGAGATAGAGGACTGTTAATTATTTTTCTCTTCCTTGAAAGGTCAAATTCATCTTGTCATAAACCTCAATTACAGTCTCACTTAAGAAGGGGCTAGCAAGCAGACCAGACAAATCTCAAAAGCTCTGGACTCTTGTCACATATTAGACTATCCAAGTTCCCGACCAAGGTTAGTTTTATGTCATTTGCTTAGTTTTTGAGAGTTTTTTTTTACCCAGGAAAGGGTAAGCCAGAAATCCAGAAAGTTTCACAATGCAGAGGTGTGGCCTCCAATCTCAGTTTAGGCATCAAAGAGGATTATGATTCCAGCAGAGAATAGGTGTGAACAATGCTTAAGAGATTTGCTGGGTAGCTAAGCCAGTTTTCTAGAGCTTTCTGGGTCCACATTTTCATTATGGGGAATATGCATTCTGAAGCCTAGCCACAGTTTGGAATTTCATGCCTTTGGCAGCTGTAGTCTCATTGCTGCTTCTCTTTGTCACGAAACCAGTATTCCTTCTGTATTTTTAAGCTTGCATTCTGATTTTTATACCCCTAGTGGTCTTTTATTTTTTGTATCCTAGTGGCTGACACACTTGGGAAAAACCACCCAATTATTTAATAGCTTCTTTACAATTAGAGACCTCTTATAAATAATAGCCCTCCCCCACCTTTGTGTATGTAGCATTGTCAACCATTTAATTTTCATCAGCTCTTATTTAGGAGACTCTACCTTACTCACGCTTTCCTGAATGTATCTACTTTTTCCCTTTGGTACTTGGTGGTTTTTTTCCTTCTCACTGTAGTACTGGGTATTTAATAAAAGATGTTCAGAATGTTAACTTTCAGTGATTAGATTTTCTTCTTTTCAAGGATTTGGAATGCCCTGACAGACAATTATGGAAATGTGATGCCTGTGGATTGGAAGTCATCCCATACTAGAACTTTGCATTTGCTTACTCTGAACCTCTCAGAAAAAGAGGTAAGTTGGGCATTACATCATAAACTACTGAGGAACTGATTCTTATACAGGAAGTAAAATAGCATTTCTCTTTACACTGTTCATTGCGTTGCGTTTTGTTTTCAGCCTTACAGCACTTAGCATGGACTCTATTGCTGTTATTCTGTCAGTTGTTTCCAGCACATACTTTCATATGCTCAACTGAATTTCTAACCTGTGCTCCAAATCTGTGATCAGTATTTTTTCCGACTCTAATAACACATTTTTAAAAAAAGGTTTATTTATGTATACAGAGCTGGAGTACAGGCCAGAGGTGCAGGGGTGGTGGGAGGATTCACCAGAGACAGAGGGGAGAGCAGAACAGGTAGATCGACGAAGAAAATTGTTGAGGGGAGTAGTAAGCAGGCCAGGAAAGTTCTGCTGCACCATGTGGATCACACACAGGGCCAGCGATTGAGCTCATGCTGAAGTGGCTTTAGCTTCTGAGTGTTGTGCTTTAATGCACTGCGCCACCAGGGAGGGCCCATAGCACATTAAAAAAATATATATATATTTTAAATCTTTTTTTTTAAAGATTTATTTATTAATGCATACAGAATTGGGGTGCAGGCCAGAGGTGGAGGGGTGGTGAGATGATTCACCAGAGATGGAATGGGGAGCAGAACAGGCAGATGGACTAAGTACACTGCTGAGGGGAGCAGTGGGCGAGAGAGGAGAGGTCTGCTGTGCCTTTTGGATCACTTCCGGGGTTTGGGATCGAACTCACACTGAAACAGCTGCGGCGTCCTAACCCACTGAGTTACTAGGGAGGGCCCTAAAAATTATTTTTTAAAGAAGTACCATTGTTTTACATCCTTGTTAAATTTTTTGACAGTATAGGATGTTCCTCCCTTCAGGAAATAGCATAATTTTGATGGCTGAGAACACATAGTGAAACCATCCTATACTTGGATTTATTCTATTAAGGATATTGTGATGTCAGCAGTTACTTGCTGATGAATTTAATGATGGTGTTAGACACAGCATGTTGTCCCAAGACCATGTGTTCCTATAAATACTGGAGACACCTTAAAGGACATTTTAGCTTTTGACTTTTGAATGTGTTCTTGGCTGTTTGAGATTGCCATGTATTTCTTGGTATTGTAAAGTGAAGATGCGTGAATAGGAAATGTGAGCATAGGCGATAGGAAATTTAGGGGGAACAGGAAAGGGAAACAATGGCTTTAAATGGTAAATCAACTTTTTTTTTAAGGCTAATAAGAAATGTAGCCAAATAATGCAAATTTCAGGGTCTATGTAAGTTCCAAATAGCAATATATACTCATGCCAGATCTTTTCATTAAGTATACTTATATAATTGAGAATATACTAGAGTAGGAGCATATTTTTAAATGCTGTTACTGCATAATGCCTTATGAAAATAATTTTCTTAAATGTGATACAGAAAACTGATGCCTGTTATTTTCTAGTAAAATACAGAATTCTGACTATCTCACAATATTCTACTAGGGTTAGAATTCTTAGTGTTTGTCCCAGTTTCTGACCTGGTTAATCTGTTTTGCAGACTGACGTGAAAAGGAGTAAGACAGAATGTCTTACGCTCTATCTTGTTTTTCATGTCCCAGCCATCGTTTGGGCTTACTTCAAGTGTCCCTTCCTTTCTCAAGCTTCCTATTACTGTTTTAGCCTTTGCTGATCTCATGGAATTACATAATTTTAGAGTTGGAAGTTACTTTAAAGGATACTTAATCCAGCCTCTCACTTGGGGGGAATCCGCACCTGCAGCATCTCTGACAGATGGCCATTTAGCCGTGGCCTAAATCCCTGCGCGGAAGGAAAGTGCACGCTTCTCTGCGGGCATCAGTTACACGTGTGGGAGTGTGAAAATCTTAGCTTGCGGTCCCATGGCCCATGGGACCGTGTGCTGATCCCCACAGCGCTTTGCCCATTTCTGAAATCCCTACTGTGTTCTTATGAGTCATCTGCTTCTGATTCTGTTCTTCGATTTTCCCTACCTATTAGGTGTCTTGGCATTTACATTTTTAGTGACTCCCAGTGTCCCTGACACATAATGAGTACCAACACATATGTTTATTAAGTGTGTGGATGAATAATCACATTAGCAAGATGATGAGGTCAGAGACCATCATACAAAGGTGTTCTTTTAATTATTTTTTCCGTATTGTTTACTATAGTGCTCAATTCACAAGAGTCAGCCAACAAGTACTCTTAAATAGTACAGAAGAGATCCTTTAGCTTCAAAGAGAAGTAGATTAGCACGATGAATGGACACCAATCCAGTTTCATTGAATAAAATGTATTATCTTGTATTGCTCTTAGATTGCAACTTAGGAAGTCAGTGCCCTTTTTTCTGCCTTTTCACTTGTTTTCGATGCCACATTGATATTGTCAATGGTAGATTAGTAATGTCTTGAAGTTCAGTACCATGCTCATTGTAAAAGTCTTCCCTGGGAAACTCAGCAGATGAAAGTGGACAGGCGGCTCACACCTGACATCTGGGCGATCAGGTGACTAGGTGATGACCAGAACGAGGCAGACTTGTTTCTGGGGAGTGAGCAGCACATATGGGCTCCAAAGAACAAGTGGCAGTTGTGTAAGAACAAGCCTGTCCTCTTGTTAGTGTGTCATTTGTTTTTTTTTCAACCTGGGAAACTTATTTACCATTGCCAACTGTTCACTTTTTTCTTTCCATAACTGAAGTACGCAAATCTTTTGGAAGCATTCTTTAGCTTGTTCCAATTGTAAAACAGGGTCCTTTGGAAATTTTTTTCATGACAAAAGGAGAAATTTTTTTTTTTGCACTAAGATGAGAAAAACATTCAGGAACATCGGTTTGCTAGGTTGTAGTTTTTTACTCGTTCACTGATGTTTAAGATGGCACATATTTAAATTTGATAGTTGTCTTCTAGGGTAAGTCTTCTGGTATATTCTAGACTCTTACATGGGCACATTTTTTCCATTTGAGGCAGCTTAAGTTCCGAGAGATAATATTACCACCAGCTCTGTATCTAACCCTGGCACAGGGAGGAGTGATAGGAATGCTTGGCAAAACGAAGGCATGTTGGTGCTGAATGGGGGAGTGAGTAATGATAGCCATGACAGCCAAGGTTGGTCTTCAAAGCCCAAAAGGGATTCCAGCTGGTAGCATATGCCTTCTCTGGGGGGAATGGCTTGGCTCCCTCTCTGGAAAGATGGACCAGGATCATTATTGCTGTTGTCATGGAAATTTACTCTGACTTCCTGGTATCACTCCAGCAGTTTGACTGCAGCACTAAACCTGCTGTACACCCACTGCCATTCTTGAATATGTTTATGTGGTTGGATGCTTCTAAATGGTTTTGCCTTAGGAACATCTCCTTTGCCTCCATTTTCTTCCCGCCAAAAGCATTTCTTCAAGGGGAGGGTCTTTGTGCTGTGTAACTTTGTATCTTCAACAGTAGAAACAGGAAGAAGTTTTCCTTGGAGTAACTTTAAAATGCAAACTTTTACATGCATAGAGAGGAAAAATAAAAGCCATGGGCGGGCCCTCCCTGGTGGCGCAGTGGGTTAAAGCACAGCACTGAGAATCTAAAGCCGCCTCCGCATGAGTTTGATTCCCACCTGCCCCGGAGGTGACCACATGGCGAGGCAGACCTCTCCTGACCCGCCCACATGGCGAGGCAAACCTCTCCTGACCCGCCCGCTGCTCCCCTCAGCAGTGTACTTCATCGATCTGCCTGTTCTGTTCCCCACTCTGTCTCCGGTGAAGCCTCTCACTGCCCCTGAGCCTCTGGCCTGTACCCCAGTTCTGTATGCACAATAAATAAATCTTTAAAAACAAACAAACAAACAAAAAACCATGGGCACTCAGATCACAACACAGGAGAATGACTTGGGGGTGGGGAGGCTTGAAATTTAAGGATCAGTGAAGTAATGGCTAGGTCCATTCCACACTGTCCACGCAGCCTGTGGTCATTGTGACATTTTTCGTTTATGCATCGGCATCTTTGAAATTAAACATACCCTGTCATCAAGTGGCAAATTCCTTGACCTTTTTTTCCTACTAAAGTACATTGTTATAAGAATAACTGTCATAGTTGGAAAAGAACATCACTGGAAAAAAGCTGCCTTGGCGCTGGTCGCCCGTGCTGGACACCAGCCTCCCAGGAGCCACCACCTGCAGCTGGTTTTCTAGCAGGTAGCATGCCATACTGCTTCCCTTGGTTTTGTTTTTCAATTTTAGATTTTATTTACTTTCTATCTAGAAGATGAGGTTTTTAACCCTCCTTCCCCCAGCACCCTTACAAAAACTCCCCTATCTTAAGTGGTGTAATTATATCTGAGCATTTGGCTAACTGTCATTTGCATTGATTATTTAAATGTTCAAACTGAACCCATTTTTGTACATTATGATTTAATTTCCTCTTGTGAAGTTTTTTTTCTTAGGATAGTAAGTTCTTTTCTAGTGGTGTTTTATGTGATGTGTAACTCCCCAATCAGCCTCCGAAGAGCCATAAATTTGTACTCCAGATAATCAATCAGTGTCTCTGCCTTCTTTCTCTTTTATACTTTTTATTTGTGCCTCATGCAGTCACAAGTCAGTCTGAACTGGATACTGTCTGGGTTAGCTTCACAGACGTCATTCGGGATTCTCATTTCACTATCATAAGACTTCCCTTCACATCTTTCTTGTGTTAGATCCTGGTCTGCTTCCTTTTTGGATTCCCTCCTGATTTAAATGGAGAGTATTCTGTAGTCGCTTTCTGGGAAAGGGTGTTGGGGTGGAGAAGCAAGTGCCAGGTGTCAGGAAAGGTGACCGACCCTAGGAGGTGCTTCGGCAGTTCTCACCTGCAGGCTGCGTACTCTGTGGGCTGCATTCACGTCAACGTTGGATGCGCCTCTTTGCAGAGTAGGCAGGAGGGGTTATATCTACTTAATTATGTCCTTAAGCTTACATTTGTCCTATGCATGGGATATCCACGGAAACAGCTTTATTTTTTAATTATATACTCTCTAGTTTGGTGCCATGGCTGCATTTAATATAGTAACTTGTTACTCATCTGCTCTTTGGGAACTGTGTGTGTGCGTGCCGTTCCTTCCTGAGGATTGGGGTTCCAGTTTGAGATCTGTTCATCTGAATAGTCATGTCACAATAAATAGATGATGGATAGCTGATCATTTGTCCATTTTTATCTGAGGTTTTCCAGGTAAGGATTTTATAGTTAATACTGACTCCGTCATTATTGAAGAACTCTTCCTGTTGCTGTGGGCAGGGTTAAGGTGCAGTAGCTGCGCAGGGTGCCAGCCCCGGGGCGGCCTCAGCCAGCAGTACTGGCTGGCATCCTCTGCACAAGGAGCTAGAGAGAGGAAGAGGACCTCTCCCTTCGGGGGAGAGCTTTGCTTCACAGTGGCTGTGACCTTTGGCATTTTTGATAGGAGACAGAGTAAATTGCCCAGTGCTGCACCCCCCCCCCACCCCCTTTCCAGTCTCCTGCTAGTGTCTACCCGGCTGTGTTTCCAGCCAGCTGGAAGCCAGAAGTCAAGGGCATCCGTAAAGGTCAGCCTCCTGGGCACAGAGCAGGGTGGAAAATGGTGGTGAGGCAAACAGTCTTGAGCACAGTAAGTTTAAAGATGTTTTTGGAAAATTCTTTTCTTGGAAGAAGAGATGTTCAAGTGGAAGCTCTCAGTGTGCCCCTCATGGACAGTTCCTGTCTGCTAGGGGATTAATTACTTGTCTTTTTCTCTGTAGGTTAGAAATTAAGTTTGCAAGTAACTAACTTTGTCTTCTGTTGAATTTTAGCAATACCACCCTTATTACTGGGCTGTTAACTAAATAACATTTGCTGCTAATTCTGTCCACTTCTTCCCTCTATCTGCTATATATAATTCCCTAAAACTTGCTAATAAATGCCATATTTTTTTCTTATTCAGCTCTTATAGCACCCAAAAAAGCTAAATGTGCATCTCTATTGGGAAGCAGAGGATATATGCAGTCCCTTAGCAATTTCATACTCTACATTTCTCTCATTTCTGTTGGAGGTGAATATATAAAGCACTGGTATAGCATGGTACAGAGTAATTGTAATCATTTCTCTTTTGAGGAAAAATTCTTGACAGATGCTTCCTTGCATCTTTTACCGAAACACTGATGGTCTGCTATTTTTTTGGGGGGGGTGTGGGGGTTGGTACATAGAAAAACAGGCCAGGGATCTGGGACCTGAGAAGATTCACTAGACAGAGTGGGGAGCAGGACAAACAGATTTACTGAAATACACAGCAAAGGGGGGTAGCGGGTGAGACAGGAGAGGTCTGCTGTGCCATGTGGGGATCGAATTCAGGCCATAGTGGTGATAGCACTGGCACTTAGCCCCTAGATCCCCAGGAATTGCCTGCCTTTAACAGTGGGTGTTTTTACTTTTAGATAAGTGACAGTTTGCTATTTGACACATCAGATGATGAGGAGCTGAGAGAACAGCTAGATATGCATTCAATCATCGTCTCCTGTGTGAATGACGAGCCCCTCTTCACTGCAGACCAGGTATGAAGGAGAGCTTCATCCACAAAGGAGAAGGGGACCTTGCGCTGAGAAAGGATATCTGATTGTGGCAACAGATAATGGCTTTTGAAATTGACTGTTTTTCCTGTATTTTCTGGTTCTATAGGCCTAACAGTTAACTCTTATACTGAGAAAAGGAGTATATGTAATCTGAAGCAGATGGGATTGTTAGTTGGAAAGATTTTCCAATATAGGCAATTTTCCAGTATAAGAATTGTTAAAACAGTACAAGTTTTTAAGGGAGGGTTATTGCTTCAACTGAAATCATGCAGAAATAATAACTGAATTTTCTGCTTTTAGATTTTGCCAGACATGGGCAAACTATAATATATCTGTACAAAAATTGTCTAGTTTCTTTAAAATCCTGTGTAAAAATCTTATTGGAAGTATTTTTTGTGTACTCCAGAAAGAAGTGAGCATTATTCCTATGGAATGTTCTAATAATGTCAACCTTGTATTCATTTAAAACCAGCCGAATCAGCATTCTCATTTTCTGAATACTCTTCCCACATATGTTGTATTGTCAAAATGTGAAATGTTCCTTAACTTCTAGAACTGTGAATTCTACCACACTGTATTTTGGATTGGAAAGAAGAGGCTAGTAAAGAGAGATTATGGCACAGTTGGGAGGAATACATTAAAAATGTGTCATATTTATGGTTGGATTATTCTAGGCTTGGAAAGAACGTGGTGCTTACAAAGCAGGTTAATAGGTTAAAGGCCTGTGGGAGGCAGAGGGCGATATTCTGGGGGAAAGGTGGGACCTGAGAATTCATAATACCATAAGCTGTTTTCAAGGCTCGGAGCAATAGATACTGTATTTTTGGGAATTTCCTTATACTGTTTTACAATTGTTTAGGAAAATCTTGTTAGTAATTTAAACTAATCGCTACCTCTTTCAGCTTTATTTTTGTTTTTCCTTAGTATGCCTGTTATATATTAAGCCTGCTCTTTCATAATTGCATATTTTTCTAATTTTTTTTAACTCTTAGATCCATTTATTTTTCTATGTATTGAGTATACTTGTTTTCTGGTATTCCTTAAAATTTTCACTTTTAATCCTCAACTGTTGGAATCTGGAACAGGACAAGATACTTTATAAAATTTAAATAGCATTGCATGTGACTGTAGATCATTGTTTAAAAAGCAGCTATATCTGAGATTTTTGTACAGTTCTTTAACCGTCTACATTTTAGAGTATCCCTTTATCTTTTATTGAGTTAACATGAAATTCTTTCCCTACCATAGAGGTAATTTCTCACATGTATTTATTTTATAATCTTATGATAATTTGATTAAATGACTTTAGATTAGGTGCGTGCATGTAGTTTGGTTCTGTCATTTGCTTTCTTTTAATGATAGCAGTGATCTGCCTCTGGAGTGTCTGGAGTATGTCCTACATGTGTTTGTAGTGCTGTTTCGCATTGCAGAAACATTGCATTGCAGAGCTGTAAGTGTCTACAGAATTAGTATACATAGTCCGTTCACTATGAATGTATTAAGTTGTATTCTCTTTAAATTTGTGTTTAATAGCTGTGACTTTTTTTTCTTTTTTTTGATAAGCTGTGTTCATTCTCACAATCACAATCCTGGTCATTGAGAACACCAACGCTTATGCCTTGCTGGTTAAGGGAGAACTTGGCACCCTTGTTCCTTGGCTGCTTCAGCTGAGCACTATATTGCAAAGAGTTTGTTTATTTCTGTGTACGGTTGATTGACATTGATATGTATATTTTGGAAGGTTATTGAAGAAATTGAAGAAATGATGCAAGAATCCCCAGATCCAGAAGATGATGAAACCCCCACACAGTCAGATCGGCTTTCAATGCTTTCCCAGGAAATTCAAACTCTTAAGAGATCTAGTACGAGCAGTTATGAAGAAAGTAAGAAACCCTACTAAAATCATTGTTATTGTTGCTTTATGTTTTTTGTATGTTTCTTCCATACAGTGTGACCATCTCCAGAAACCTTTGCTTCTCACAGATGGGGGTGTGGCGCCTCCTCAGAACCTCCTCAGTACTTACTTGGGGGCTATTTGTTATTGTCCTTGTCAGACTCACCTTTGTACCCTGTGCTCGTCAACCTGAGCTGCTGTAACAAAGTACCACAGGCTTACTGGGCTGCACCACAGCACTGATTTCCTCGGACTACTGTTGGCTAGAAGATTGAGATCAAGGCGTGTAGCCTCGTCTGGTTTCTTCTAGGCCTTTCTCTGTGGTTTACATGGGGCTGTCATGTCTCTATCCTCATGTGGATTTTCCTTTTTGTACATCTGCATTCTTATAAGGTCCTCCAACATTCAAGTTAGGGCCTCCCTGAGTGACCCCATTTTTTTTAAAAAAAGATTTATATATGCATACAGAACTGGGGTACAAGCCAGAGGTGCAGGAGTGGTGAGCGGATTCACCAGAGACAGAGTGGGGAGCAGAACAGGCCGACTGAATAAGTACACTGCTGAGGGGAGCAGTGGGCGAGTCAGGAGAGGTCTGCTGCGCCATGTGGGTCACCTTCCCTGGCCAGGAATCGAACTCATGCTGAAGTGGCTTTAGCTTCTTAGTGCTGTGCTTTAACCCACTGCACTACCTCAGAGACCCCCCTTTTTTAATTTATCTTTTTAAGGAGTCGATCTTTAAAAGTGGTCATTCTGAGCTGTTGGAGTTGGGACTTCAGTGATGTCCTGTCACTGAGGAAATAATGAGTAAGACTGAAATGGGGCTGGGGGTTCGTCTGCGCTGATTTGAACAAATTTCAGTTATTTTGAAGTTAAATTTTCAAATCCAGCTCTTGCTTTCTAAGCCTGCTAGAGGCTTTTAAGCTGCTCCCCCTGTTCTGTGTCAGCAGGTAGTTTGTGTATTCCTCCCTGCCTTTGTGTTTGTTCTTTTCCTTGTAAAAGTTTTTTTTCAGTTTTGGCTGAAGTGCTCTGCATGGGATGGTTGTTTGAGACAAGTAGAAAAAGGCTACTGTACTTTGCTTTTCAGGGAAGTAACTTTGCCCACCCACTTCTCTCCAGCTAGACCAACTCAGGATTCTGAGATCATGAACATTGTAATTTCTTAGAATAATTTCTGCTCCTTAGCATAAACCACCCTGTGCATACCCTTTGTATATTTTTGTCTTAGTATCTGCTCTGCTTTACTTTTGGTCATAGGAGTAAAGAGGCTTTCAGTATCTGAACTAAACGAACTGCTGGAAGAAATTGAGACCGCCATTAAGGAATACTCTGAAGAGCTGGTGCAGCAGCTGGCCCTGCGAGATGAACTGGAGTTTGAGAAGGAAGTGAAAAACAGCTTTATTTCTGTTCTCATTGAAGTGCAAAACAAACAGAAAGAGCACAAGGAAACAGCCAAAAAGAAAAAGAAACTCAAGAATGGCAGCTCTCAGAATGGGAAGAGTGAGCGAAGTCATATGCCTGGCACAGTAAGTGATGTTTGCAGGAACCTCCCGGGGACCCCAGGCTGCAGGGTGGGGCAGGCGGGCAGGGCAGGTGTGTCAGGCAGATGCGGTGTGCAGCTCCCGGCACTGAAGGGTGCCTTTCCCAGGATGCCTCAGTGGTCGTCAGCTTCAGAAAGGTCTTTCTTGCTGAGGGTGTAATTAAAATAATTCAGTACTGAAATGTTTCGGAGGAAAGTGAAGTGGAAGGAAAAAAAAGAATAAAGGAAGGTGTCTTAAGGAACAGCAGAAGTGGTCGTTTTAATAGATCAAAATGTTACGTGGTTACTTATATTTGGTTGCAACACTTATGAGTTGTATCACGAATAATGAAAGGGGTGCATTTGTCTGTGCATTTGTCTGTGACCAAGCTGCGTGGTGCCTAAAAGTGTAGGTTGATGTGTAGACAGGTTCCTGTTGATTCACCAGTGAAATTGGAATGTGAGGGTGTTGGAAGCAGGTGTGCAGTACCCACCATCTGGCTTAGTATTTGGCAGACTAGACTATTGCTGATGAAAATACAGTTAGAATATATGAATCTTTGACTCTCCATAACGTTTACTGTCTTGCTTTTTCGTTTTTCTTAAATGGCCCTTTTAATTTCATGTGACTTAACTTCATTATAAAATTTGTATTTAATTATATGAGATGCTTTTCCTTACTAATCGTATTGTCACTTCTTTTTTGGGGGATCAGTGGAGACCTTGTATATTAGCCACCTTCATTTTGTTTGTATGTGAAGAGATATGTTCGTATTTTAGTATTTAATGGCTTGTAAAAGGGATACATTTTTCTAAAGGGATCTTTTTAACCTTCAATACTGATGACTTGAAAATATACATATCACCACAACTGGCTGTTATGGTTTGCAATAATATAAATTCTGTCTTTAAGTTCTCACTTTCTAAGAATCTAAGGAATTCTTTTGAAAGAAATGGATCTTGTTATATTTTTGAAAGAAATAGACTTTGTACCCTTCAAGGTATTCTGTTTTACAAGTGAGGTTATGCACAGTATGTAGTTAAAAAGGCATTGATTGGTTGGTGATTTCTGCCTATCTGCATTAGGGATTACATGCAAATCCACCATTTACAGGTGTTAACACTTGACGGAAGAAAAGAAATTTATTCCTAGTGAGGTTTAAAGACTTTTTTTTGGTAACTTCCTTATGAGAAGGGTCAGAGCAGATTCATTTTGTAATATTCCATGACATTTATATTGAGAAATGGACTTGGCAGGCAGCATTTAAGAATTAACCTTTATTAGGATTAAGGTGGAGTCACACTCACAGTAAATTCTGCACAGTATTTGGATATGTGAAGTTACTTAGTGTCAAAGCATTTTAAACAGGGTGGTAATGGCAGCCTTAAGCTTGTATACCAATTCCCTCTGTCTAAGCCTAGTGTGCTCGAGAAAGCCCATCTTCTGGAACAGAGGCAGCCCAAGGTTTATGATTAACCATTAGGATATGCAGATTCCCGGAAATAGTCCCTTCTCAAGGTGATACTGTCTCAGACATTTTATGTAACATGCAGTTTTGGCACACTCTAATCTCTACAAGTCAGTTGCCAAAAATTGGCGACCTTAATGAGAGCCTTTGTTATCTGTTTTCCTAATGAAACAAAAAATTAATTACTGAAAGCCATTTTTTCCCGTTACAGGTATTTTTTTATTAAGAGGACTCACACTTTTCCTTCAGTATGGGATAGCGTCCTTCCATTTTTTTTTTTTAAATGTTCTATTGATGCAACATTGATTTGTATCTGGTATAATACTCTAGCCCTAGTTCCTGGCTTTTTGTTTTCTTTGGTGCATAGAGAGTAATGAAAAAGCTGGGTGGGAGTCAAGTAGAGTTAAACACTTCAGGTGTTCATTTTGGATACTTGTTTTGTTTAACATTGCCGCAGTAGAAAAAAAAATTGGAGGGCGTAAGGATGCTATTTAGAGTATCAGCATTTTTTTTTTTTGCATTACGAAATAGTCTCTTGTAAAATTGAGATCTCAATTTATTTTAATTTTTAAACTAATATACATACTCCGGAAGATTAGTAGTTGTTCAGCAAATAGTTTTGGAGTGCCTTGTGGCACGCACTGTCCAAGACCCAGACAAGGCCCTTGCCCTCCTGATTTGTATTATAATGAGGGAGACAGGCAATGAAGGAGTGAATAGACGGTCATTTCAGGTGGAATAAATAAACGAAGGAAAAAATAGTGTAATTCCACGATCAGACCGAGGGTTGGGCAGGTGGTGATTATGGTCTGTTGAGCGTCACCTTGTTTCCCTTCAGTTTTTGCACATCCCTTAATATACATTTGTTAAAGTGAAACTTCACCATAAAGGAGTTTGTAGCCCAGAAGGTTTGAGCTTGTGATATTTGAATTATGGCTGTTCTTTCAGGGATTGCTTGTATACGCCAGTTTTCTGTGTATGTGGTTTATTCTCACTCTGTCAATCAAATTTGTGAGGCCATTGAATTTCAGCAGCAGTTCCTAGACCACAGGACAAGTTGAAGTTAGTAGCGACTTCTCATCTAGAGTTGTCTGTGCGCAAACCTTGGTAAATTCATATGAATGAAAATGGGTATACTAACTCTGAAGATTGAGTCATGGTTTTGAATTAAAGGTCAAGTGTCAGGTCAAGTGGTTGAAGTCTGGGGTTGAAGAGAGGAATCTCTTTGCTTTCTGTTTGCTGTAGCACATTGAATTTGAACATCTTTCTAACTTCTATCTATATATTCCTTTCATAGTGCACTACTCCAGCTGTCTTTGTGACTCATTTAGCTGAAATCATGACCAATAGCCAATCTGTTTTATTTCTTTTTACATATAAACATGCCTCAGTAATAGTGCAGAGCTGCCTTTGAGAAATTTATCTTTATTTTGACAACTATTGTGAGGTCATACTGCAATTCTAATTTACCTAAGATCTAAGCCTAGAAGGAACTGTTCTGACCCAGTGACTTGACTTTGGGACTTTTATTTAAGATACATGGACCAGATTTTTTTAATTTTTGATATTTCTGTTTCATGCTTTTCTCTTTTTGATTTCTAAATTTCTAAACATGGTTTAGATCAGGGTGTTTTTTTTTTTTTTTTTCCCCAAGGCAAACTCCTTTCCATGGGCTAAATTGCCCCTCTGCCTGTTTGATAAAGTTTTATTGGAACAGTCACATCTGTTTGTTTACATGTGGTGTATGGCTGTTTGGTGTTACGAGAACAGAGTTGAATAGACATCACAGAAACTGTGTGTCACGGAAACAGGCCCACAAACCTGAAATATGTACTATTTGAGTCTTTGAAGAAAAATATTACCAACTCTGATTAGACTAAAAGTCTCATTGAAAATGAGAAGAAAAGGATGCGAACTCAATTTGTGTGAATTTGTATAGATAAAAGTCATTATATTTTGGCAAATTTCTTATGAAATGTAGCCTTGTTTTCTTCTGAGTGTGCTGACGTGTTTCTGTCCCTAGTGCCCCGTCCAGCAGTCGGAGTTGAACCTGTAGGTGTTCTCTCAGCCCATCTAAACCACTTGTTGGCAACACACCTGTGCTGGGTGTGTCAGAATCCAAGAGCTAAGTGAAGAGAGGCAGTAGGTAGGCCAGATGGGTCCAGTTTGGGGACAAAGGGAAAATCAAAACATTAGCAGCGTCCCGGCACACTGTGTTTGTTCATAGTAACAATAAGTAGCTGACGCAAGGTAGCTCTTTTCCAAATAGTGCTGCTTCGAAGACCAAGCGGCACTTTACACATACTGAGTGGAAATATTAAAGTTTCAGTTGTTGGTGATGTTTGATACTGTTTCTCAGCATTCTTTTTGCAAGGACCATTCCTAAAAATTAGTGTTAGGGCCATAAAATGGAAGGTCACAGTTGGTGGAGAGAGCTTGTGTATACTGTAGTGTTTATGGTGATCATCCACATCTATGAATTACACATTCTTTTAGATAGGAAGCAAATTTATTTTATGGTAGTATGGCCTGGAGATAGTATTGTCTCTGAGACAGTATTGCCTAGAGAAATATATATCACCACAGGTTTTTAACACGTTACCATTATCTACTATTTTCTGCCATGTTAGATTTTTTGGTGTGAGGCTGGAAATAGTGAGTGTCCATGACTTGGCTGTGCCGGCATAGTAATAATCAGAAGTTCTTGCCTCTCTTCTGTCTTGGAGAGGTTTATTAGAACATAAGTTCAGATAAAAACCATAATATGCCAGGAAATGGTACTGTTGTTATATACTTGGCTTAGAGCATCTGTGAATATCAGAAAGAAATTATAAGTTGCCAAGATTAATTATTTTACTTTTGTTTTTGTAGCTTTGAAAGCGTTTGGCATTACTTGATCACCAAATTAATATTGAATCACATAACAATTTAAAAATATCTTTAGAGGGCCCTCCCTGGTGGCGCAGCGGGTTAAAGCACTGCACTGAGAATCTAAAGCCACTTCCGCATGAGTTCGATTCCCGCCTGCCCCGGAGGTGACCACATGGTGTGGCAGACCTCTCCTGACCCACCCGCTGCTCCCCTCAGCAGTGTGCTTTGTCGATCTGCCTGTTCTGCTCCCCACTCTGTCTCTGGTGAAGCTTCTCACTGCCCCTGAGCCTCTAGCCTGTATCCCGGTTCTGTATGTACAAATAAATAAATCTTTAAAAAAAAATATCTTTAGAAACTAGTTATTTGACTCTTGCTCCACTTGACTCCTAACTGAAAATTTTCATAATGTGTCTTTCTGCTCTGAAAGTGTACTTAGAACATAGTAGTTTAAGTAGCTGCTTTGGTGTAAACCATACCTTCTCATTTGTTTAGGCCTGATTTTTTTGTGAAAAATTAAAATCATTTTTTTGGTAGAATTTATAATTGCTTTATAATTCCCATTAAAATTATTTGAGTTGAAGGGTTGTCAAAATATACAGAATCTATTTTTACATCTTCAGCAATAACTATTTTGAGTATTTTAATTTTTTCATTTAACTTTTAAACT